TTTCTTGATTTCACACCATGGAGCAGCCAGGAAAGCTGCTTTATTCTGCCATCTTGAACACCCCCTTAGTATATTTTAATTATTGATTAATTATTTTAATCAATAATTAAAATATACTAAGATAATACTTCTATGAAAAATAGGTTTAGATAACTTAATAAATTACTGGGTTAAGTGATTTCTGTAATTTTATATATGTTCTTGTTTGAGAAATAGATCTTAATGTCCAGTGACTTTAGCTTTGGGGCCATGTGGGAGGACTTTTTGTAGTTGTTTCATAAGACCTAGGATGTTCTGTCCTGTGTTATCAGTTTGTTTTTTTCTGTTTTTCAATTTTGGATTTTTTAAATGTTATTCAAGCTCATACTCTATCCTTAGCCATGTTTAATCTGCTGATAGGCCTCTCAGAAACATTCTTTCTTACTGGTGGTTGTGTGGATCTGTAGCACTAGTTTTGATTCCTTCTTAAGTTTTCCATCTCTTAGTTTACATTTTCTGTCTGTTGTTGCTTTCTGTTTACTAAATCCATAGGAAGTCTTCGTATATTACTTTAGTTTCAAATTCCTACTTTTGTTAATTTCAGTATACTTTCCACAGTTGGTTATGGTTTTGGCTCTGTTTTCAAATTGTTTTTGTGTCTTGTATGCCTTGTAATTTTTCCTTAATAGCTGATGTGATGGGATAAAAAGAATGGATGTAAATGGCCCTTGACTAATGTGGATAGGGATGGGACATGTGTTATAGTCCTGTGATTAGGTCCCAGTTTTTTTTTTCCCCCTTTGACTCAGAATTGAACCTGGTGGCACTTAACCATTGACCCACATCCCCAGTTCTTTTAAGAAAATTCTAATTAGTTATTCATGGTAGCAGAATGCATTTTGACTCATTGTACACAAATAGAACACAACTTTTCATTTCTCTGGTTGTACATGATAAAGTTACACCATTCATGCAATCATGCATGTACATAAGGTAATCCTGTCTACCCCCATACCCCCTTCCAATCCAAAATTCTTCCATTCTAACACCCCCCTCCCCCAACCGTTTTGGGATCAGAATCCCCATATCAGAGTAAACATTTAGACTTTGGCTTTTGGGATTGGCTTATTTCTCTTAGCACAATATTCTCCAATTCCATCCATTTACCTGCAAATGCCATTTTCATTCTTCTTTGAGGCTGAGTAGTATTCCATTGTGTATACATAGACCACAGTTTCTTCATCCGTTCATCTGTTGAAGGGCACCTAGGTTAGTTCTACAATTTAGCTCTTGTGAATTGAACTGCTATAAACATTGACATATCCACATCTTGGCAGTATGCTGATTTTAAATCCTTCAGGTATAGACCAAGGAGTGGGATAGTTGGGTCAAATGGTGGTTCCACTTCAAGTTTTCTAAGGAATCTCCATATTGCTTTCCAGATAGGTTGCACCAATTTTCAGTCCTACCAGCAATGTATGAGTGTACCTTTTCCCCACATCCTTAGCAACATTTATTGTTGCTTGTATTCTTGATAATTGCCATTCTTTCCCGTCATTTCTTAAAACCTTTTTATTTTCAGATAGGGTCTTTTTATTTTTTTATTTTTTTATTGGTTGTTCAAGACATTATAAAGCTCTTGACATATCATATTTCATACATTAGATTCAAGTTGGTTATGGACTCCCAATTTTACCCCAAATACAGATTGCACAATCACATCGGTTACACATCCACATTTTTACATAATGCCCTATTAGTAACTGTTGTATTCTGCTACCTTTCCTATCCTCTACCATCCCCCCTCCCTCCCCTCCCATCTTCTCTCTCTACCCCATCCACTGTAATTCATATCTCTCCTTGTTTATTTTCCCATTCCCCTCACAACCTCTTATATGTAATTTTGTATAACAATGAGGGTCTCCCTCCATTACCATGCAATTTCCCTTTTCTCTCCCTTTCCATCCCACCTCATGTATCTGTTTAATGTTAATCTTTTCTTCCTGCTCTTCCTCCCTGCTCTGTTCTTAGTTGCTCTCATTATATCAAAGAAGACATTTGGTATTTGTTTTTTAGGGATTGGCTAGCTTCACTAAGCATAATCTGCTCTAGTGCCATCCATTTCCCTGCAAATTCTATGATTTTGTCATTTTTTAGTGCTGCGTAATACTCCATGGTGTATAAATGCCACATTTTTTTTATCCATTCATCTATTGAAGGGCGTCTGGGTTGGTTCCACAGTCTAGCAATTGTGAATTGTGCTGCTATGAACATCGATGTAGCAGTATCCCTGTAGTACGCTCTTTTAAGGTCTTCAGGGAAAAGTCCAAGAAGGGCAATAGCTGGGTCAAATGGTGGTTCCATTCCCAGCTTTCCCAGGAGTCTCCATACTGCTTTCCAGATTGGCCGCACCAGTTTGCAGTCCCACCAGCAATGTACAAGTGTACCCTTTTCCCCACATCCTCTCCAGCACTTGTTGTTGTTTGACTTCATAATGGCTGCCAATCTTACTGGAGTGAGATGGTATCTTAGGGTGGTTTTGATTTGCATTTCTCTGACTGCTAGAGATGGTGAGCATTTTTTCATGTACTTGTCAGATAGGGTCTTGCTAAGTTGTTTAGGGCCTCACTAAATTTCTGAAACTAGCTTTGAACTTGGAATCTCCTGCTTTAGCTTCCTGAGTTGGTGGGATCACAGACATGCACTACCATGCCCAGTTCGTTTCAGTTTTGGAGTAAGTCTGTATCTCTGGACTGTGAACTTCACAAGTAGTCCTTAGTACCTCCATCCAAGCTTAAGTGATGCTGGGTGGCCAGAGGTGGCTTTCCCTTTCCCCAGCTTAGTTTGTATGTGTACATCACCTTTCCTGACTGGGACAAAGTACCTGAGAAAATCAACTTACAAGGAGGGAAGATTTATTTTGTCTCTCAGCACCTGTGGTTTCACTCTATAGTTTTTAGCATCACTTGGAACTCATGTTACAGCAGAGAATCATGATAAGGATCACATGGCAGAGGAAGATGGCTCAGGTCATGGTGGCCAGGAACCAAAGAGATAGTAAGGGGTTGGAGACCCAATATCCCCTTCAAAAGGTTCACCCCCAATTACCTAACATCTTCTACCAGATTCTACCTCCTAAAGGTTCTACCACCTTCCGGTAGTACCCCAAGCTGACAATGAAGTCTTCAACCCATGGCCTTGGTGACATTTAGGGTCCAAACCAAAATAGTTTTATCAGAGCCAAACCTGTCGGGCTCTGATAAACCCCTGGCAGATTGGACTCTCATTAATAAGGACTAATCTTAGGAGAAACTAGTTAAGAGAAAGCTGGTGCTATAGTGTATTTTAAAATGCTCCCACCAATCCTCTGCCAGAAGCATGAGGAATTTTTTTCTCAGATACTGGTGGTTGACTCCTGGTGGTAAGACTCAAGCAAGTTTAGGAGTTTCCTATATTCACAAATGGGTCCTCCTGAAGTTTATGTATTTCAGACTTGTTCACATTGAGCCTCCATCTATCTCTAAATTGCAGGTTCAAGTTTTCCGGTGCCCCAGTGGTTCCCCCAGTGGGCTTTGCTCACGAGAGTGTTCCATTCAGCCATGTTCTTGGGTTCGCCTCCTACCTCCTCTCTCCGTTCCCCCCTTTCTATTTCCTTCTTCCTTCTCCCTCCTCCCCTCCTATTTTGAGGATTGTGGTTTGCCCTGTGTCAGGTCACCCTACTAACAAATTCAATATAGGTTGCTGATTATCTAATACATTCAGCTCTTTTCTTGTTAAGATACTGTGTTGACTTGTAAGCTTCTGTGTAGTACTAAAAATCAGAAGTCTGAATTTTTAAATTAAAGGTTTCTGTTTAAACAAAATTTTCAGGAGACTAACTGGAGAAAATAAAAGAGATAAAGGAGAACTTATTAATTTTAGGAAGCATTGAATGTTGAAAGAATGAGGGCTGGGGTTGTGGCTCAGGTAGAGCGCTGGCTTAGCATGTGTGAGGCACTGGGTTTTATCCTCAGCACCACCTAAAGTGTAATAAAGACATTGTGTCTGCCTATAACTAAAAAATAAATATTTTTTTTTTAAAAGAGGAAGTTGAAAGAATGAAACTTTCAATGAAATGTTTCAGGTTGTGGGTCCATTTCAAAATATTATGTGCTCTCTGTCATTGAGGATATGTGGATTATTAGTGGAATTCTTCAAAATTTCACTAGTATAAGGGCCATTGAAACACCTTGGTTTGGTTTGACTAGAAATAAATTAGACAGTAGTTAGATAAGGACAGGAATGGTTGAGGATTTAGAAGAAACACATTGGCTATGAGTTCATAATTGTTGAGACTTAAAGTTTTCTACTTTTAGGTGTTTTAAAATTTTCTGCAATAAAAACAGGAAAAATAGTTGCTTCACATCCACCTATCATCACCCTGGCTTTGTAGGAAAAAGTGGTTCAAAGCAGTCTAAAGTGAAGGAAACAAGTGAAGTCTATTGTGAAGCTTGTACCCTTAAAAGAATCTCAGGATTTCCTATAGCTTACCTAGGCAGAGTTTTAAGTTATGTCTCTGTTACATTGTGCCTAATTTCTAAATAGGTAAATCAATATTTATATTTTTTGTGTATTTGTTTATTACTTGAAATTGATTTTATTATATAAGAAAATGGAAACACTTAAAAATGACATTAGATTTCATTTATTCCATTTATTAATCTTGCTCAAGCTACTTTCCATCTTTATAGAGTTAAGAAGTAATCAGTGCTAATTATGTTGTTAATCTAAGTATCCTTCACTCACTCAGCATGGGGTGTTTAGAGAAAGTATCTGTCATTTCTTTCCTCCTGTATTATTCATAATATGCAGGAGAGAGATTTAGATCAAGTGTAATTTTGTTCTAACTTGGGGCATAGATGAGAAATGTTATATATTTAAAAACAATATTGAGGGAAATAGAAAAATGCTATATGCTATTTATCATTTCTAAAATTCAGATTTCTTAGTGTAACCATTATATCTTTCTTTTTGTTACAAAGAATCAATCCAGAAAAACTTATAGATGTACAGAAAAAATTGGAATCTTTTTTAGCCCAAGATCAAGATTTAAAAGAAAGAGCTCAAAGGGTAAGTTCTTTCTGAGTTGGGTACCTTTGTTGGAGTGCAATACATAATAAGTTTAAATTTTGTTGTTCTGCTATTTCTACATTGCATGGTCATGTATCACATATTCAAATGGTGTAATTTGTACATGCACCTAGAATATTCCTTAAAATTTCAAAGTGTTTTTTTTATAATAACCTGTATATAGTCTTGTCAGAGATACACAGAAAATCCTAAGATTATTCTTATGCCCTGTTTTCTAGTGTATTGGGTAAACTTTACATTTCTTCAGTAAAGTTACTGTAAGTCCTGAATGCACTTTGACTATGAAATTAATATCTTTATATATTAGGTTAAATTTCTAGAAAGGATAAAACTATTGTCAAGTTATCTTTAGGGATGAAATTTTAATCTGTAAATATGACTTATTCTCTGATTGCTTTTCTGGACTTTTAATCTTCTGTATTAGAAAAATGAAATTAAAAAGTAATTTATTTGCTAAATTGACAAATTACATTACAGTGTGCAACATGAGATTTTGAAACGGTATACATTTTGGAGTGGCTAAATCAAACATTAATATTCATTACCTTACATACCAGTTATTTATGATGAGAGAAGTCATGTTTAGTTATACTTACTCTTTCAGTTCATAGTGTCTAGCAATAGATTCTGTGGAAAAGGAAGATGTGAAATGATTATGACTTGTGCCTTCCAATCTACCCAGTCTATAATCTTTGAATTAACAATTATGAGTACTCTTATGAAGCTTTGCATTTTTACCACTGTTTTTACTAACTTCCTTATAGTTATAGGATCTTTGCTTCTCTCATAGCATATCAAAAGTGAGCTAGAGAGGAGTGATTAGGAGGCTGGATTCTATTTCAGCAGGCACATGATGTGGGAGGAAGAATATAAGGAAGGAGGAGATAAGATTGTTGGGGTAACTCGGGCAGAAAAAACATTGAGTAGTTGGGTTCTTTGTTATTTTGAAACTGGATATTCCCAGCAGAGAAGCAGAGAAGTAAGTTTTACTAAAGATCAAAGCTTCTATTTATTGCTGACTTATACTTTAGCAAAACATTGCTATGCATAAAATGATGTCAATGACAAAAGCTAAAATTTGAGTCCTTACTATGTACCAAGCACTTAGTCATGACTTGACTGTTTCATGTGTATTTTACATGCACTGTGTTATCTATTCTTCCCAAGAACACATGAGGTAAGTGGTGTTGATGTGATTTTTACAGAGGTTAGATGCTAGCTTCAGAAAATTAAAAATTGTCCAGGGTCACATAGTTATCAAAAGTCTCAGTCTGAGATTGAAATCTATGTCTTTCATTGTTGAGAACGTTGCTACATTAGGAGAAAAGAATTCCAAAATATGAAAATCAACTATTGAGCTACACTAAGTTGAATTTCTATAAGTTCACTTCACCTGAAATCCAGTGAAAACAAATTAGTGATTTTCTTTTCTTAATTTGTGCCCATGCAACAACCATTTGTGAGTATGTGTTTTGTCTAGCACATATTCAAGCTAAACTTTTTTTAGAAGCTTTAAGAATAGTGCAGACATTGAAAAAACATAACATGAATTCAGATAATGTCATGACTTTCTGCATGAAGGATGTTGTTTCATTGGTTTGTGCTTACAACAAATGATCCTTCCAGAATAAAGATTTTTAGAATAGCACATTGAAATAAATGTTGTGATTTATTGAGTGTCATACATGGTTTAGCAGATTGGTTGTGTTGCCAGCAATAGCATGCTATCTGGCTTCAGAGAACTGATTGTATAACTTTTGATTATAACCTGGAGAGAACAAAAATGATATTCAACTTGAATGGTTTCTTGTAGGATGGTTGTAGGGGAAAAATTATATTGAACTGATGCCATTCATTGTTATTCATGCCTATAGAGATAAGTGATGTAGAAAGGATTAGTGTAAAGCTAGAACAAAATGTGAAGAAATTATGGAAAGGATTAAATAAACTTTATAAGAATTATTTTAAAAATGAAAGACATTACTTGCTTAGATATATTATATGTTATTACCTGTTTTACTAACTGGTAAAGTATTGGAACCATATTTACTTTCTGATTTGTGTATAACTCTTGCTTAGTATTTTTGCACAAATGAAAGAAAAGTATGCCAGCTTGATAATGAATTATATAAAATTATAGTAAAACAGGGAAAAGGTTTGACAGTCATAATTTAATTAAGCTTCATTCAATACAGTAAAATTTTATCAAAATGTATCTTCTGATGATTAACAATAAGAAGCATGTATTAGCATATCTTTTGGAATGCAGTAAATACTAGGTATTCTATATGCATATGCCCCCTTTATTGTCATAACACTTAGTTCTTTGATGAGGAAACTGCCATTTAGAGAAACCAAGAAATTTGCTTAACTAATAAGTAGCTTAGTGTAGATCCTATTTATATTATTCCAGTGCCTTTATTTTCTCCATGTTACCTATTGTAACTGAGTATTAATTTGTGGAGTAGCCTTTTGGGGAAGTGATATTCTGTGGTTAGTTTGCTTGAACAGACGCAAAATCTTTTCTTCTAATATTCTAAAAGTAGGTTTTCTTTTTTTGTGTGTGTGTGAATGACTGTGTGTGTGTGCTTACTACTGTTAAATTTATCCCTGTCGTGGTGGTTGTTCTTCTATTGGCCTAACTTCATTTTCCATTGCTATGCTGTTGTACTTCTCAACCTTTCTTTTTCTTTCTCCCAACCTTTTATTTTTCAGTGTTTTGTCTCCTACATACGTTCAGTATACCTTATGAAGGATAAAGAAGTATTCGATGTGAACAAGTTACCTATTCCTGAATATGCACTGTAAGTATTCATAATGTAGCTGTGCTAGTCAGTCTTCAAAGTTAGTTTATTTCTGGCCTGGTTCTCTGATGGTCCTGGTTTAAACCACTCTTCTTTGCCTTAAAAGAATGTTACAGATGTACAAAGAAAAAAGATTAAGTAATCTCTGGAAAATTAGTTTCTGTTGCCAGGAAGAAGTTTTCCCCCAATAAATATAAATTCCTTAAAGTGGTGGATACCTATGGTTTGATTTTATAGGAGACAGAAAGCAACTGAGTCTTTGAAATCTTCACATTTGTAGTCTTCTCTTGCCCTCTAAGATGCTGCTATAGATTACCATAGACATTTTATGCTTTGGATGTGCGTCTCTTCTCTAGTTCTTATGTTAGATTGTTTTCCCCATATTGCTTATTGCCTGAATATTATTTCTGAGTTGGTATTTCTTATAAGTATTTGCAACTACTATGGCAAGATACCCCTGTTTAGTGAATGGAATGATTGGTTTTGTTTGGCTTAGTTTGATTTTAAAATAAAAACAACAGCAACAAAATACTGAAAGTTTTTCACCTATAAAAGAGGAGTGTTCATTCTTTAAAGGAGTCCTACTTGTGGGGAAAGCATTGACATAATCCTATAGAACTTCATCATACTTTGAATATGAGAATAAACTTGCCCAGATAATGATGAAATGTGTTTACTAGTCAAGGTCTGTATGTTTAGCCTGCTCTTCAGGAATTTGAGTGCCTTGACCTTTAAATTGAGTGTAACAAAAACTTTTATTTGGGCAAGCTGCTACTTTCTATTCTTTGTTACTATGTTATATTGTAAGTTTAATACAAAAGGTAATTTGTCAGTTTTATTATAGAACACTTTATTTGCTTCATAGCATTGTTAAGCAACTAACTTTCTGTTTAAGTAATCGAAGGAAAACCATGTGCTATGGATAACAGTTTTTTGTTTGCTCATGTTTATTTACACATTCATGGTTTCACCATTTCTGAGCATGGCCCATGGTTTGGATTATTAGCTGATTTTTGTGCTCTGTGTGAAGTGCTATCCTAGTTTTCTGACTGACTTAGCTGGATTCTTAACAAACAAAAATTGCACAAATCTTTAACATGTTAGGGCCATATTTAGGAGATGTTTTGTTTAAACTGACTCCAGTAAATGTCATGTTTACAGTTAAAGACTGTTTTTTGGTGATAATTGAAGAAGTCAGAAAATAAACTTGAGCCTAAATTATTGGTACAGTTTACCTTGGTGTTTTTAGTTTTTGTGGATAGATGTGTAATTTCCTTAAGATGTGTAGTCTTGTAGAAGTCTTGGATGCCTAAAGCAGGGCTATGTATGTAAGATATAAAAAAGGTTTTAAAAATTTTACTATAGATACATATTTTGGATGCCTAGTAGGTGCAGATCATTGTGCTCAGTGATAGAATTATATATGAATGTGTACTCTTTAAGAACTCAAAAAATTTTAGTAGCCAAGAAAACATAAATGTAAATGTATTATATTAAGAGAAATCCTTAGGTGGATTCAAGTTCATGATCCTAACCCCTCATCTCCATGAAAGTAATAATGATAATAGCAAGTTCTCAGTGGTTGCCCATATACCACAACTTTGACTGCATTGTATGTGTCAATTGATGTTTTATAACAACCCTATGAGGTTGAACTCCTGCCCAATTTTGCAAATAGGAAAACTTGGGGCTAGAGAGATTAAATACTATCTTGATACCATACAACTAACTGGTCATTGACAGAGCTAGGATTTGAACCTCAACAGTACTATTTCTGAAAGTGTGTTTTTTAGATGTTCACCATGTCATACAGGGAAAGAGTAGTGATCCATGTTGTAACATTAGCTGTTTACTAAAGCCAACCTTGCTCTAAGGTTTTATTTCTAATCTGCTATTAGGAACTTAATGAAAGCTGTTAGCTTTGATCCCAGCTGGGAACCACTTGATCTTAAATGGAATCTTGATAATAGATGGAGAAAGCGAGATTATTTTTATCTAATCTCTTTTTATAAAAATTCATTTTTATGCAGTGATTATGCCATGTTTTGATAAGAAGCATGAGGTGGGATAGGGATGATATTCTAGTTCATTCTTTTGAAGAACTGGATTTTGTCCTTTCATGGCATGTCTTTGCCAGTTTATTCAGTAACTCACATTTTTATAAAATGTACTTTAATATAGTTAATTAATTGGATCTTCACAATAACTATGATAGTCCTGGCACATGGTGTTATACTACATTATGAGGAAGCTGAGTCTGAGAGTTGAATTGAAAATTGATAGGTCTAGTACTTAATCTGTCACCATCTAGGTTTGTTGTAATGCTCTTTATTTTATACCATATTATTCTAGAAGAAAAACTAGTATCTAAAATTTTTTCAGACAGCTTTTAAGTGAACTTTGGTTTGCATTTTGGATAATCTAGTGTGTCAGTACATTGGATTTTATTTCAGAGGAAGATTTTCTTTATGAAAGTTTTAGAAATATATTTCTAATCAAGAAACTCTTCCATAATACTGTACATGTACCATCAGTGTACTGAGATAATTTTTAAAATTTTTTCCCTCATTTTTAAGGTCTCTTGGTCTTGCTGTGGCACCACGGGTAAGATTTCTTCAGAAAATGCAGAAACAATCTACCAAAGAATTGGTGAAGAGTCAAGACAATGTGGTAACTGAGCCCAGGGCTCCATCTCTCACCAATGATGAGGTGGAAGAATTTAGAGCCTATTTCAATGAGAAGATGTCCATCCTTCAGAAAGGTGGGAAAAGACTACAAGGGACAGAGAATAGACAGAATAGTGATGTTAGTGAAGAGGAGGAGGAGGAGGAGGAGGAGGAGGAGGAGGAGGAGGAGGATGAAGAAGAAGAAGAAGAAGAAGAAGAAGAAGAAGAAGAAGAAGAAGAAGAAGAAGAAGAAGAAGAAGAAGAAGAAGGAGAAGGAGAAGGAGGAGAAGAAGAAATGAAAGAGAAACTGGGAAAAGCGAAAGGGTCTCAAACTCAATCTCATCCCAACATGGAGACACAGAAGGTCAAGGAAGTTTCTGTGCGGTTCTTGGACCAAGATGATGAGGAAGAAGATGGACCTGATAATGATTTTCTTACAGTGAAACGGTGCAATGTGTTTGGGTTGAATCTTTCAGAGAATAAAGTGTTACAGGTAAGTTTACTCTCCACTGAGGGTCTTCTGTTATGTTTTTTTACTGTGTACTAGTTTTTGCATTTTGGGATTTTAAGAAAAGTAAGAACTAAGAGAATCATAGTTTTGTTTTTTCCAGTGGCACCCTCCCCCCCATATTTAAACACAGAGTAAGTGCCAAAGAATTTTTATTTTATCCTACGAGGTTATCACCTTTAATTGTATTTATTGGCTTTCTGATACTATGTTTTGAAAGTCGTCAGAGTCATGATTATGACATGAAGGAAGGCAGTGAGGTTCATGGTTTATGATGTGAGAATCTTTCATTGTGATTGTTAACATACTACTTTGATTAAATTGTTGTAAGGAGAAGTTACTATTTAAATCTTTCTGAACATGAACTTTACTTGTAATGAAACATTGGCTTTTGGGAACGTACCTAGTATCTTAAGTAGACTCAAACACCTCTTTTTAAAGACCCCTTATAAAAGCTTATAAAGTTTTCATGTAGATTCTTTGTTTCTCTGTTGGCACCTGCTAGAAGGAACCAGAGAGAGAGAGAGAGAGAGGGAGAGAGAGAGAGAGAGATATTGATTGATTCATCCCATATAATCTGTTGCCCTGTGATACTTATAGGATCTCAGTAAATATTTCTTCTTTCTCCTCCTTCTTTCCATTCTTGCTTTGTATCCCTTTATTCTTGATCAACTGTTGAAAGAGAATTGAATGAAAAATGGAACCAGACTCCTAGTGTTTATGTAATGTTTAATAAAATGCCAAGATTCATAGCAGGAAATACATAGAATTTGGACCATTAGATTTAGAAAGGTGTTTTTTAAAGTAATTAAAAAAATAAGCACTGTAATCCCAGTGGCCCGGGAGGCTGAGGCAGGAGGATTGTGGTTTCAAAACCAGCCTCAGCAATGGCAAGGTGCTAGGCAACTCAGTGAGATCCTGTCTCTAAATAAAAATACAAAAAAGGGCTGGGGATGTGGCTCAGTGGTTGAATGCCTCTGAGTTCAATCCCAGATATTTATCCCCCCCGCCAAAAAAAAAAAAAGAAAAAAGTAGACATGTTTATTGAACACATAGTGTATTATGTATGAAGCATTTTCTAAAAGTTGGCATCATTTAGTACTTGAAATATACTATGAAGTAGGAACTGTCATCTTATATAGGTGAGGGGAATAAAACCTGTGGCATAATCATGTACTGTCTTATTCTACTCAAGTTAAATCACTTTAAGTTTGCAGTTAAGTCTCATTTCAAATAAGTGAAACGAAACAATCTAAATTTTTGTTCTTAGTGCATTAAAATTGTTTTTATGCCTTTTTAAAAACTGTTAAGGGAATAAGCTAGAGGTAAGATTATGAAGGAATGACAAAATTTTGTAATGGCATGTGATTATTCATATTATAAGTAGGGTGCGTATTCAAGTATTTATAGCTCATCTGGCATTTGAAAAAAAAATTAAATGCATATAGCAAAAAACGTTTAACTTTCTAAAAAAAGTTAATTTAGGTAACTGATGTGGGGTAAAATTTAACTTTTTAAATATATAATTTGAGTTTTGAAGTGTAAGTTGTGTAAACACTACCACAATGAAGAGTAGAACACTCCTATCACTTAAAAAAAATTGGTTCTTTTTAGCTATACGTGACTGTAGAATCTATTTTGACATAATTATAAAATCATAGGTTATATCTTGTTCTAATTCAGTCCCCAGTACTTTCCTATCCCTTTCTTTTCCCCACCCCCTGCTCCCTTCCCTTTACCATTTTTTTTTGCCATTTACCCATAGTTATTTTTTTTTTTTAAATTGATTTCTTGTGGATGTACACGATGGTGAATTCACTGTGGTACATTCATATATGTATATAGGAAATTTATGCCAGGTTCATTCCATTGTCTTTCTTCAACATGCCTCCCCTACCGCAATCCCTTCATTCCTTGGCTTCTCCACTGAACTTCTATTCTCTATTCCACCCCTTATTCTGGTTTAGCTTCCACATATCAGAAAAAACATTTGATCTTTGGTTTTTTGGGGTTGGCTTATTTCACTTAGCACCATAGACTCCAGATCCATCGATTTACCAGCAAATGTCATAAAATAATTTTTCTGTATGGCTGAATAATAGTATTTTCACGTGTACACACACACACACACACACACACACACTCTTTATCCATTTATCTGTTGAAGGTTACCTATGTTAGCTCCATAGCTTAGCTATCGTGAATTGTGCTGCTGTAAACATTGATGTGACTGAGTCACTGTAACATATTGATATTAAATTCTTTGGATGTGTACTAAGGAGTGGGATAGCTAGGCCAAATGGTCATTCTATTCCTAGTTTTTTTGAGGAATCTCCATACTACTTTTCAGAGAGGTTGTATCAGTTTGCAGTCCCACCAGCAATGTATGAATGTATTCTTTCCCCCCTATATCCCTTCCAAAATTTATTGCTACTTGTATTATTGATAATTGTCATGCTGACTGGAGTGAGATGAAATCTCAGTGTAGTTCTAATTTGAATTTCTCTAATTGCTAGAGATGTTGAACATTTTTAATATATTTATTGACCGTATTTCTTCTTTTGAGAAGTGCCTATTTAGTTCCTTTGCCCTTTATTGATTGGGTTGTTTTTTGGTGTTTTTTGAGTTCTTTGTATATGCTGGATATTAATGCTCTATATTAGGAACAGGTGGCAAAGATTTTCTCCCATTCTATAGGCTCTCTCTCCACATTCTTGATTGTTTCGTTTGTTGTGATGAAGCCTTTTAGTTTGATGCCATTCCATTTATTGATTCTTGATTTTATTCCTTATGCTCTGAGAGTCTTGTTGAGGAAGTTGTTCCTGAGCTGATATGTTGGAGTATTGGGCCTACATTTTCATCTAGTCTAAAAAAGTGGTATTTTATCCACTTTGAATTGAGTTTTGTGCAGGTTGAAAGATAGAGGTTAAGTTTCATTCTACTATATATGGATTTCCAGTTTTCTCAGCACCATTTGTTAAAAAAAGACTGTCTTTTCTCCTAAGTATGCTTTTGGCATCTTTGTCAAATATGAGATAACTATATTTATGTAGGTTTGCCTCTGTGCCTTCTATTCCATTGGTCTTTATGCCTGTCTTGATGCCAATAGCATGCTGTTTTTTTCCTCTATCTCTGTAATATAATTTAAATTCTGGTATTTTGATGCTTCCTGCTTTGCTTTTCTTGCTAAGGATTACTTAGGCTATCCTGGGCCTCTTATTTTTGTAAATGAATTTTATGACTACTTTTTATATTTCTATGAAGAATGTCATTGGAACTTTGATTGGTATTGCATTGAATCTGTATAGTGCTTTTGGTAGTAGAGCCATTTTGACTATTGATTTGGCGTATCTAAGAAGATGGGAAGTCTTTTCATCTTCTAAGGTCTTTCTCAATTTCTTTCTTTAGTGTTCTATATTTTCATTGTGCAGGTCCTTCCCTTATCCTCTTTTCAGTCAGTAACTTCACTCCACCTTTATCCCTTGATCTGATTTCTGACCCTATAGTGTTGAATTTTTTAGAATTACATGGATAGAATCATACAACATGTATAGCCTTATGCCTTTTACACCTGCCACCTTTTGTTTAATATGTGGTTATTGGATATATCAGTAGTTTGTTCCTTTAATTGCTGATTCAATTTCATTGTTTGGATACATCTAGTTTTCTTTCTTATTTTTAATAAATTGATTATTTCCCATTTTTGATGATCATGACAAAAACAACTACAAATATTCACATGTAAGTTATTGTGAAGATAACTTTTTTTTATTTCTCTGGAGTTTATATATAACAGTGGGTTCACTGGGATCCTAGGAATTGATATATTGAATTTTGAGAAGCTCCTTAGTTGCTTTTCGAATGGGCTCTTTCAGTTTGTGTTTCTGCTATCAATGTATGGGAGTTCTGATTCTTCAGTTCACCTGTGCCTGGTATTGTCAGTCTTTGTAGCCATTCCTGCTAGGTATGTAGCTGAATGTTGTTATAGTTTTAATTTTCATTTCTCTAATGACTTAGCGGTAAGCCTCTTTTCATGTTTATTTTCCATAGAAATATCTTTTTTTTTGTGAAATGTCTTTCAGCTTTTAAAAATTGTGTTTTTTTGCATTCTTGACTTCTAAGAGTTCTTTCTGTATTCTGAACTTGTATTATGAGATGTATTTTGCTAATATTTTCTCCCGTCTATGGCATCTTTCACTTAAGTGTCTTGTGAAAGCAGCAAATTTTTGAAGTATTTATTACTTTTATAGTTTACGATTGTGTCATATCTGATAAATGTGTGGTTAATCCAACGCCATGAAGGTTTTCCCATATGTTTTCTTGTAGAAGATTGACCTTTTTAGCATTTGTATTCATGATTAGGATCTGCTTAAACTCAATGTTTGGGTATGGTGCTAAGTAAGGGTCAAGGTTCACTTTTTTACTTATGGGTATGTAATTGACCCACTACCAATTTATTGAAAAGACTATGCATTTTACATTGAATTAGTTTGACTGTCAGTTGACTGTGTAGGTGTGGGTTTCTTTGTGGACTCAGTTCTGTTCTCTGTGTGTGTGCTTTCACCAATAACTCCTGTCTTGATTAGAGTAACCCTATAGTAAATCTTAGGTAGTGTATTTTTCAATTTGGTATCTTTATTTTCCTCAAAAACTTTGGACTATTTTTATTTTTAGATCATTGAATTTTCATTAGTTTTTGAATCAGCTAGTGGATTAGTACAAAAAGCTGGTTTTATCTTCATTGGGATTACATTGAGTCTATAAATCTACTTGGAGGGAACATCTTAATATCAAGTCTTTTAATCTAATGAATGTGATATATTTTTGTTCCTTTAGGTTGTCTTTATTGTCTTTTAGCACACACATATCATCATGCACATTGTTTTAGATTAATATGTTGCTATTTGATATTATCAATAATATAAGTAGTACTTCTTAAAATTTCAGTTTTTAATTTTTCTTGCCAGTATACAGAAATACAATTT